ATTGGGCTCCACACTGGGCGTGGAGCCTGCTTGGGATTCTCTCTCTCTCTTTCTCTCTCTCTCTCTCATAAATAAATAAATAAACTTAAAACAAAAAAGGCAAGACATTAGTAAATCCCACAAACGTAAGCACTTATATTCTATTAGTTGTTTGTCTTCTTAGAATTGGCTAAATTACATAAAGAAACATAAAATAATTTACCTTTTTGAGTTTCTGGATCCATTAAGTGATGAACTAATGGATGGCTATATATTGATGTTTTCTTGATCATTTCTTGAAAACTAGGCAAATAATATAATAAAATATCAAATGGTAATAATTCAAAAGTGTGTTAAGTGCTTTTATATTTACCTAATAAAGCTTAAGTAACATCAAATCTAGTATAGAAAATTCAATTAAAATTTCATATATTGATAAATCAGGATTTAAGATAGACCACCAAAACACAATCTATGCAATACAAATAAAAATTCGGACAGAGAAGAGTCAGAAGTTTTAGAAGCTACTGGAGAAAGAAAACATCCTTCACCAGGGACTACCTTAGCTATCACAAAAAAAGGCATCATCTTTATACTGACTGGTCAGATAGCAATCTTAACATTTAAGAGGTGATTAAAACATTGGGAGAAAATGGATTTTGTTCAGTGTAGTGAAAACCACAGTTTTCATCTGAAACAGCAGTAGATATAAAGTTCACTTGTTTCCATCACTGTATTAGTAGGAAGTACCCAGGTTCTAATAGCTCAACCACCAAATGGGCTTTTTAAGTAGCTTCTACTCTGAAGAACCAAATATGTTTAAAATTAATTATTCTGTGCCTGTCAAATAGAGCATATCCTGTGAACAAGCTGAAACAAGCTGTTATTCCAATTTAGGGAAGAAATGATTTGATGTTTTTCATCTCAGTTTTGGCTCCTATCATACGTAATCCCTGTAATACCATGGAGTTATACAGCACTCCGTTCTTCCGGGGATCCCCAATCACTTTTCACAGCCACCACATTTTTCTTTGCAGTATGCCTCAATAAGTTAGAAGACCAATTATTTTCCCTACAGTTGACAAAGAAAACAAAAAGTCAAATGACATCCCCGCGGTCGCTGGTGAAACAACAGCAACAGTGGCCACGCGTTCTGTCCCCGACTTCGTTCCTCTTCCACTAAAAGACGCAGTGTTTATTACACGTGTCTGCCTAAAGCTCAACATTTATTAAATGTGAAATCCAGACATACCTAAACGGGTGGGCTGAGTTTCTAGAAGTTTAAAAAGTATCATCCACAACTTTTGTTTTGCTGGAGAGACCACTGAGGGTGCATGAAAGGTGAGCCCAGAAGCACGCAGTTTGCTACTGTATACACTGGCAGCGAGTCCTTGTGGAAGGGATTAGAATCCTGACAGCTGCGGCTTTGGGAGCCTCTGGGTATACAGCAAGGAGCCTGGAATGCCTGTAAACAAGGGGGCTGAAGAACAGCAGGAACATTCCATGAGCGTGTCTCATGAATAGAGCTAGAGCCAGTAGGCGAATATAAACCACTCGGACAGGTCCGTGAAGACTATGTGAGCAAAGTGATCCATTTTTGAACCTCAATGCCAAGAGTTATGTAAGACTTCACAGCTGTACTGTCCTGTGACGCAAAGGCCGCGGACTGTTTAGGTCACCTGCCCGGGTGTGAACATCATTTTTAGAATCACACAACCATGCCAGAATGTTAGAGAATGTGCTCTGGGCACAGGCATCAAGTTTCAATTCCTTCCTGCTCAGACTAAATAGGAAGGCTAAGGGTGCATGTTCCCTGTGCACCTGCACATGTATACGCCTGGCTGCACTTCGGAGCACATATACATTTCCCCAGGCACTGAAAATGCCCTTAAAAAGAAGTTACTATAGGTAACAAAATAGAGCAATATTATTAAGGTAAACAAAACTAGTGGACTGTGGGTAGATCTTCTAAGAAATACATTATATACCATGATGTATACACAAAGTTGACTTGGGGTCATGTTAATATATTGGACAGGACTAGCAGTCTGGGAACCTAATTTTAATTAGTCCTGTCAATAATCTGCTTGTGATTTTAAGCATTTAGTTAATTTGTTCCTTGGTTCCCTCATCTATAAAACAGGGATGTAAAAGGTATGCAGTATTTGTGGGATGAAAAAATGGCAGGTAAAAAAAAATATTCCGCAAACTGCAAAATCCTAAACAATGAAAACTATTATTCATAGGTGGTTAATTCTAGGCAGAGGGCATTCTCTCTCTTTGGCTTTCTTTAAAACAAGAATAAAGAATCATTTGGTGAATAAAAATCACCTGTCTAGGGGCAACTGGGTGACTCAGTTAAGCGTTAGACTTCGGCTCAAGTCATGATCTTGTAGTACATGCGCTCAAGCCCCGCGTCCGGCTCTGTGCTGACAACTCACAGCCTGGAGCCTGCTTCGGATTCTGTGTCTCCCTCTCTCTCTGCTCCTCCCCCGCTCACGTTCGGTCTCTCTCTCAAAAATAAAGAAACATTAAAAAAAATTTTTTTTTTTAAACAGAACCTGCCTTTTTCAAGGGGTTGTTTAAAAGATCATGAGACCTCAGTGCTGGATTTCTTAAGAGGCAGAATCCCTAAATCGATCATTTAAAGTGACATGATAGGGGCGCCTGGGTGGCGCAGTCGGTTAAGCGTCTGACTTCAGCCAGGTCACATCTCGCGGCCCGTGAGTTCAAGCCCCGCATCAGGCTCTGGGCTGATGGCTCAGAGCCTGGAGCCTGTTTCCAATTCTGTGTCTCCCTCTCTCTCTGCCCCTCCCCCATTCATGCTCTGTCTCTCTCTATCTCAAAAATAAATAAACGTTGAAAAAAAAAATTAAAAAATAAATAAATAAATAAATAAATAAAGTGACATGATAACAATGATCACTTCAGTTATACTGAACTGTCTGAAAAGTACATGGATACTTCTGCCTCCAACTGTAAGTAGCTTATAGCCTACCTCTGCTTCTGAGAACTAGAAAAGCAAATTACACACACACACACACACACACACACACACACACACACACACACACACGAGAGGTCATCAGAGAGTTGTCAAGGCAACCAAGAATTCCAGGCTTTTGCTGACTATTGGGGTAAAGAGGCCGAGAGGGCAAAGGAAAGACAACAGGGAGGGATGCCAGTGGAATTTCAGATCTCACAGAACCAAGGAGACAAAGTACAGTGTTTGGGGCCAGCAAGGTGGCCAGGAATTGGGAGCCCAAGATCCCAGCAAGCACAGAGAAATAAACCCCACACTCAGCACTGACTCTCCACTCAAGGCCTTTGCTCAATAAGATGTTTAGGGCAAGAGGCTAACTTCCCAACCAAAGAGTGGCTAGAAGCAGATGTAGCAGGGACCTAGACCTTCACGTTAGACAGCAGCCTAGGGGATGGCTGATCCTGGGACCCTGAATGACCTCATGGTGGACAGCTGCCCAACTGGCTCAGACTGGTCAGCCTGTTGACTGGGAGATGAATAATTGTCCAGCTTATCTAGGCCACTGCATACGAACATCTCTTTGCTACAGGAGCTCAGCCTTCACCCCAGCTACTGTAGGGCAAAACAAATGTAAATTATCTATTAAAGACAACAAAATTCAATTTTAACAAAAGTACTATCTACAAACACATATGCAGAAAACTCCCAATTATTAGGTAGCTCTGAGAAATGAGGATAATATGAAAAAGTTAATGTCCTCCCATCCCATCCCCAAAAAAGTGTTCTGCTTCAAATGACTCCAGAAAAAAGAAGCATTAAAAACAGATCTGAGTATATTTACGTGGAAGCCATGGTTGACTCCAGAAGAAAGCTGCTAGAGAAGACTGGTAGAAGCAGACAAGATATTTCAAATTTCAAGATATTTCAAAGAATAAGTAATAAGCAAGGAAAAGCAGCAGCTGCAGATCAACTATTTGAGAAGTTGGGCTAAAAGGTGAAAATAAACAAAAGCTTAAAAAAAAAAAAAGCACCCAACAGTCAGTCAACGGTTGTTGAAAGGTACCTGTATTTAGCATTCATTGGTGATGATGTCGATTATTTGAAGGCAGAGGAAGAAAATCAGTCAAGATGGAAAGACCAAAGATGTCAGAAAAGACACAGACTTGGGAAGACAGTACCTCTGAAGGCCAAAGAACCCAAGCTCAGCCTGCTCTTCACCATAAGCAATCAGAACTTTGAGAGCCGCTGTTGGGAGAGGTCTCAGCAGGAGCAACACTAAAGTAACCGTGGCCAGGGCGCTCTAGAGCAATGTCTCTATCAACAGTAATTGACCTCTGGAAGCCACCCCTGAAGTCACCCACCTACACCGGTTCAGCCGCAGTCCTGAGCCCCCACAGCCACTTACACACAAGTCGGCTTGTGACAACCAAATTATCTTAAAAGAGAAACATTATGGTACAGAGGCTCCCGCATACAGTTAATACTCACAGGGGAATCACGCACCCCATTCCAGCTTCCTCATTATTTTGCTAGAACCACAGCAAACATACTTTTCAAAGGATGTGGCAGCAAAGTGAGGTTCCCTCCTGCTATCCTCTTACATGGCCGCTGAGGAAAAAGGGGAAGGTGCAGAAAACAGGACTTCACGTAGTTGTGGGCAACTGCCACTGTTATGGAATAAGAAATAAGGAGATCTTTCTTCTCATCTGGGTCAGAAAGTCAGGGGGAATGCATATAGACACTGACCACTGACCAACAGAAATCCCTTCCTTTCTGTCAATGCTGTCAGAAAGCATCAGACACCGTATGATAATAGAAACATGAACAAAGACTGTGAGTACAAGGAAATACTCAATGACGTGGAAAACACTAGAAAAACATATCAGAAAACAAGTAACTGTCAAGCTCTGCATCCGTAGTTTTACAAACCACACAATAAAAAACTTGTGCAAATACTTTTAATTGTACTATTTCATCACAACAAATTCATTACAAGATGTTAAGTTGTACCCGATGATGGAGAACACACTGGTTTAAATTAGCTTTTCCTCTTTCTCCCTCTGGTACCTCTCAGTTTGCCCTTTTTCTTCCCAAACACAGATCTGGCAGTCACCAGCACTGGTGCTGTCCCTGCTTGGTCATCATCACTAGAGCTGCTGCTGGTCGAGTCTTCGTCGCGGACAGGAGCAGGGCGCCCTGCTCTTGGCAAAGCCGGACGGCTGATGGGGGGCTCCTCGGCTGCCTTCCCCCTTTGCAGGTTCACCAAAGATACATACTCAGCATCCTCCCCAGAAGACGCCCCGGATGACGGCGAAAGGCAGGTGCCCCCCAGAAACCCACCACATTTATTCGCTTGCTTAGGATCTGAAAGCCTCTTTCTTTTCAGGTTTGATGACTCTTTTCGTTTATTTGCCATGCATCTCTTCTGGGTTTTTCCTTGTGCCGTATCCGGGAACTCACAGTCTTTCTCCATGGCAACAGACACCCCTTCTATTTCACTGGCCTCTTCTTCTCTTTCTTTTCTCAGCATACATGTCACAGCTCTGTTAAGTCTCTGGCTCCTAATACCCTTAGCATCTCGTCTCTCCTGTTGAGCTAATCTAAAGAAAGAATCAATTCGGAGCTGTGTCTAAAAAAATGAAATGAAATAAAAAATCAGCCAAGGAGGTAAACTTTCTAAAGCATATCAAAGAGTTCCACCTTGATCACCAGCTTCGGAGGGCTGTTTCAGAGAATATGAATTCATTCTCTCTCAAAAGCCAAATCTCTCCTACGTGATTTGCTGGAGATAGGTTTTATTTTTCTAGATCATACTTAAAGCAGTACTTGTACCACCTCTGTCACCCCCAAGTCCCCCGTACACAGCTCAAATAAGAACCCCCTTCCAAGGCACGTAATGAGACTGAAATATTTCTCAGTAGCCAAAAAGACCACCTCCTCTAGGAGCAACACAGTGTCACGGGTCTGTTTCCAAATTTCACTCTTCCTTTCTTTTGAACTCATCATCCTCATGCGATACACTGAGGAGACAACCTCACAGCATATTGGGAGTCGTAGGAAACAGGCATGTGTTTTGGTTAGCAAACCCTCTTCTAGGAGGACAGTTGCATTTGGGAAAAGTTATATGCCTAATGTTCATCACACCATTATTTAGGAAAACCTGAAAATGGAGGGCCTGCTAAGTAAACTCAACCAGTAAGTGAAATCTCTTCGATGAAATGCAATCTGGTCACTTGAAATTATGAAACCTATGCAATACAGAAAATAGTCCTCTGTTATTAAGTATGGGGGGAGTCAGATCTATCAGACTGCACTTATGTGTGACAACAAATCTATGTGGGAATGGGGGTGGGGGGGTGGGAATAAAAGAAAATAGACCTAAATGTTAACATCTGTGCCAGAGAAAGTAAATAATGGATAATTTTAATGCATTTTTTTCACTCTCTAATTTAGGAGAAATAAATTTACACTAACTTCTACAAGGTAAGGGAAAAAACATATTATAATAAAATATATCTGAAATTAAGGAGTAATCAATCACTAAGCCAAGAAGCTTTCTGAGTCTGTTGGCATACAACGTCTGTATTAGAGAGAGCCCTCAAATAAGCAACAGGAGACTCTTTCTGGAAAAGCATGTCAGTTTTATGTTTTTTTGTTTTTTTGTTTTTTTTCAAAACTAACCAAGCTTGATGACAATAGATTTAAATATAAGTATCTTACAGGATATGGTCCCATACGTACAGGTAAACCATTCAGTAGAAATATTTTGGAGGTTGTTCCTGGGGTAGGAACAGTTTTCTGTACGGGTAGGAACATACTCACAGATGAGCAAGACACAATTATCTACCAACGCGGGAGAACTGAGGGACATACAAAGGCCTCGTTTCTCCTCAAAAATCTCTCCTGCCAACATGCCAAAATGATGATGGTTCACATATAGAATTAAGGAGCATTAGTACTTGAGGAGAATTTAATGATCAGGATGGCTTTGGACTGGACACTTCCCCAACTTTTTAAAAATGAAAATAGCTCTGAAAAAGTAAAATATTCAACCATAAACACCTCAGTGTGTGATCCATTATTAGACTGTTTTTTTCAAAGTCAGAATGAATAATGCAAAGACACCAAAGTCCAGCCCTAAGAGTAAAATTCAAAAATTAAGACAAAGTGCAGTTTTCTTTTTCTGTTTTCCTCTGTTCTCTTATCTAAAGCATAATAATTTTAAAATGGATGTCATATGCCCTAAGATAAAAGAGTAACTCATCTTTAACAGCTGCCACTCACAGCCTTCCTAAGTTCACTCCTCACCCTGAATTTAGGAAAAGAGCTGCCATGATTACCTGCTGGGCGTTCAGTTGCTTTAATACTGGAAACAGAGACTCATCTGTCTTTGTCCTGTTCCAGCCAAAATAACGCTGACAAAATATGCAGGCAGTTAAGGCTTCTACGTGTTTTTAAATATATTTAAACAAGTGAAAAATAAAAAGGTCCAAAGAACTCACCCTAATTCCATTCCCCAGATCTTAGAGATTTTCATATTTATAAGGAATAAGTGGTAGAGAAAAGAATGACAATGACTTCAGTGTCCTCTAAGATAAGACATATCCAATTCTCATTTTAGGACATCAAAGACTCGTTACTATGGAAAACAGTTAACCTAGATTAAAAACAAGTTTCAGATATCATACATACGTCTCTGAGAGAAAAATATTGTAGTTAGACTAATACTGTTAAACGTTTAAACACCTATCCAAATCATTATTTAAAAATGCAGAAAGGAACATATAAATAATAACAAAAAACAAAACTACTAATCTTTTCTATTCTTTCAGAATGAATTAATACTTAGTTTGTGGTAGTATCTATGAATGCTTATCACTACTTATTTCAGGAAAGACCTTGTTTAACGCTAAAGAGATTATTCATGATAGCTAAAACACGGAAGCAACGCAAGTAGCCACCTATAGATGGACAGATAAGCAAAATGTGGGGCATCCACACAACAGAGTGTTATTAAGCCTTAAAAGGAAGGAAACTCTGACACGTGCTACAACATGGATGAACTTTGAAGACATTACGCTAAGTGACATAAGTCAGACACAAAAAGACCAATACTGTAGGATTCCTTAGTCAAGGAGGTCCTTAGTCAAAATCACAGAAACAGCTGACTGTGGTCACCGAGAGCTGAGTGGAGGCAGAAGGGGAGTTACTGTGTAATGGGGACAGGGTTTCGGTTCTTTCCGGATGAAAACAATATGGGGGTAGATGGTGGGGATTGGTGCACAACAATGTGAGTGTATTTAACGGCACTGATGGGTACACTTAAAATGTTAAGATGATAAATTCTGTTCAGTGTATTTTACCACAAAAAAAAAGGAAAAGGAAAAGGAAAAATCCTAAGGAGAGAGAAAAAGGAGCATCTTAGATAGACAGAATGTTAAGAAAAAGTGGATCCTAGTGCATGTTCCCTCAGTTGCAAACGGAAACACATACTTGGCTCAGCGTTCCTTTACGTTTTAAGAAGTAAAAGGATATTCTCTAATTTTGTCGAGATCTGGCTTCCCCCACAGAAATGACCCCCTGGAGTCATCCACCACAGGTTTGAGGTAAGCGTCTGCCACAGCTGGGTTGGGAAAGCCAGGTGTGAGTTGCAGCTTGCGTAATTTTTTTTTCACTTTGGTGTCATAGGGGTCAGGTCTTATCTTCTTACTTTTTTGAGCTTCATGCCACCACTCTCTAGAAGGCAAAGGAGACAGACCACGACGTTATAGTGGAAACGCTGCAGATACAGGCCTATACTTAGATAGAAGACGCAACGTCAAGTCCCGACTCCAGAACAAATCCTATGACCCACAGAGAACAACTTCATCATTTTTAATGTTCTTCACCACAACATGTAACGATGGCAAACACTGACTGAAAGCCTACCGTGCCTGGCACCGTGTTAGCTCTTCTACACGCCGTATATCACACGACCACAGTCTGACCACTGTCCTCACATCACAGATGAAGAGCTGAATGCCAGCAGAAGTCACTACCTGCTCAAGATTTCACAGCTGGGACTGGGAGGGTCAGAACCTGAGGATCTCCCTCCAGAGCCCACAGCTTCTCTGGCTCTCTTTCTTGCAGTAAAATGAAGTAAACTGTATCATTTACCTCAAACCAACTATAGTAACAGACCCAAGAATATTTAAGAATATGTAAAACTGCCAAGAACATGTTAAATTTTTAAAAATGCAGAACATGAGTCTATATAAAGTCTAACATCAATTTTGGGGAAAATGCATATATGTGAGAAAGAGAAAACATAAGCAAGCCAATTTAAAATAAGAAAAACAGCAACAACTATTATTTTACTGTGGGCTAGGCAATGTTCTAAGCAAGGACAGAGCTGTTCATTTTCTTCTTCATATTTTATTCCTTCCTCAGTTTTTCCATTGTGACCATAAATTACCATGGCAAGTTCAAGAGAGCCACACGTTCCGTGATTCTCCTGCCATCCAGAAGTGGCTCGGCATCCCTTCCCTCGAGCCGGGTGGGCTCTGTGACCAAGGAAGTGATGCTGGGCCAGGTCTTCAGGGGCTGCAGTTTCCACATCCCAGCCCTGAGAATATCTGCCTTGGAAGCAGCCGACATGCTGTGAGGAAGCGCCCACTAGTGAGGAGGTCCAGACGGACAGGGTCCACCATTCTGGCTGGGCTCCCGGCTGACAGTCAGTACCACTGGCCAGATCTGTGGCTCCAACTCCAGTGGATCCTCTAGCCCAGCGGAGCGGCACCCCAACACACATGGAACCCAACAAGACACGTCCACACAGCCTCACCAAACTGCAGATTCATGGGCAAAATCAATGGCTGCTGCTGTCTGAAGCCGCTGAGGTTTAACGTATTTTATAATACAGCAAGAGATAACCAGAAAAATTTATACAATTAGGAAACACGAATGGCATAAAGTTAAAATAAAAACATAAAAATAACCCTCACCAATATATACACTCAATGGAACTTAAAAAAACAAAACCTCTATCTCATGCTTAACATGCTTACTAGTATCAGAAACTAACTCAGGTTTGCTCTCAGCCAGCCCCACCTCACCGATGCAGGAGCGCCATCTAGTGTTACAAAAGACTAACTGCAGTCTTCGCTGCAGGGCCAAAAGGAGATTCCAAGGAAAAAAGAATACCGTTTCCAAGAATGCACTAAGGGAATACCTGTAATTCTTCCCCACTCTTTTCAATTTTCACCTTTGAGATAAGTAATTCGGATTGTCCGCTAGGAGGAGCAGCACAACATGCTGAGCACTCCCCACAAGAAACAATCACCCTTCCTGAAAGCAAGAGGGCCAGGCACTCACATAAAGATGCAAGACAGTCGGCCAATCAGCCCTGCTGGCGGAAGCGACTGTGGTAAGACTGAAGGGTCTGGACCCGGGCCAGGTCAGCAGGGTGGACTGCTGTTCTCTGGCCCTGCTCTTTCGGGGCTCTTTGGGCCCAGTGTTTTCAGACCTCATTTTCCCCCAAGCATCCAAAATGTTCTGTGAAATATCCCCCAGTTTAAATGTTGGTAGCCAATTCAAAATTAGAGCCCCTCTTTCGTGGTTGGCCAAACCATGCATAGCTGGGCTGAACTCGCAGGGGAGCCCAGAGCAGCTCCACCTTACAGGGGTGGAGGGTGACTGGCCAGGGCCCACTTGGGAGAAAGGGAACGTAGAAATGAAAGCAAGGCAACGTCCTCAATTTTACTGCTCTTCAGCTTCTCTTCCTGCTCTTTAACTCCACATTGGCCTTAACGCTGCCCAGCCAGGCACAGCGAAAGCTGCTCCTCTCTGCCATCGACCAGCTAGACAAGCAAACCAGAAATGGCTAAAGTGGACTCTGAAAATGTACACCATTCAACTGACAACAAACAAGCAAAATTTACTGAGAGAGAAAAAATGGCATAAATAGGCATTCACTGTATCACAAATTCAAATTTTCACCAACAAAAAAAAATTGGGATATCAAATTGAAAACCTAAATACCATTTTTACTTATCCTAAAATAATTAGGTAAGAACCCAAATATATGTCTATAAAGACACTCAAATCATGTTTGTTTAGACTTAAAAAAAATAAAAATAACAACCCGCTTCTGATTAAATTAATTAATCATGATACATCAAGACTACCACAGAGTCATTAAAAACTGATACTTGGGGCACCCATGTGGCTCAATCAGTTAAACATCCAAGTCTTGATTTCCGGTCAGGTAATGATCTCATGGTAGTGAAATTGAGACCCGCATCAGGTTCTGCACTGGGCATGGAGCCTGCTTAAGATTCTCTCTCTCCCTCTGCCCCTCTCCCCTGCTCATGCTCTCTCTCTCTCCCAAAAAATGTTTATTAAAAAAACTAAAAACTAAAAATTTAAAAAAGACCCTGATAATAACCTATACATTGTAAAAAGTAGATGAAATCATCCATTCTATAAAAAGAAATAATACACACTTATATGAGTATACATGCATGTATGTTTGTATATATACAATGAATAGAGTATACTGTGCATAGAAAAGTTTAAAATTATAGAAATCAAAATGTTAACTGTAACCATTGCTTTAATTCATGTCATAATTTTTCTATTATTTGTACAATAAAGTTATTTGCAGTTTTTCAAGTTACTGATATACCATGACCTACAAGCTATCTAGTAAGTGACTTCCAGTATATCATTTCCTCAATAATATGCAAATTATGAAGACAGAGATAAAGAAAGCATAAAATACATACATTGATATGTATGCTACAGCTGGAGTACAGTGAATATTAAAACCATTTCTGTATTTAAGTTTTAATTTTAATCACTGATCCTTTAGAGATGAACATCTGAGCATTTATCAGACACAGGAGGCACATCTGGAAAGAACTCTAAAGAATCATTAAGTCAACTACTACCAAACAGTATCTCTTGACAAGGTGGTGGTTAGAAAATGCCATCACAACCTCACAAATAAACTACAAGCCACTGAACTGTGAAATTTATGGTATATGACTTATATTCCATTTTTTTTTTAATGCAATCAATGACTAACCTGAAAGAAAGAAGGACTTTCACAGACATCATCCTAACTACCATCTCAGTACCCGAAGGACAACACAACCTGGGCTCTGGCTGGAAGGCAGCCCCACCAGGGGACGCACCTGAGTACACTCAGCAAGAAGGACAGCAGGGCCCAATACAAAGTTCTCAGCATCCTATTTCCATGCCTTCTCTGCCTGACCGTTCAGAACACCTGACACACACAAGTACAGGTACATGTTTGTTTCTCTTCTTCCCCAAGAGCATGGGGCTCCGTGAGAGCACAGTGGAGACTTAGTTATCACTCCTACCCCAGTCTCACAGGCTGTCTGACACACAGTCCCTACTAAATAAATATCTGAATGAATGAAACAGAAATTTCTACTTGCCTATGAAATCCCATAGGCCTGGCTATGTACCCCTGAACTAGGATAAGCCTGGTGTCTCTAAAAACATTGTCTCTGATTTCATTGAACTATAGAAAAGGGAAAACAAGTTTAGTAACCCAATCTATTCCTCCTTCTGTTTTCCCAACAAACAGTGATTTGTAACAGTTCATGATGTAAATAATAGTTCTGTTTGTTACACTGGGTATTTACATAAACATCTGAATTAAAGAAATTAACAAAGAACTTACGAGAATTTTAGGAGAGGTTCCAGGCCATGTCCAGGGAATTCATTGAGAATTTCCATGGCTGTAACACAACCTACAGTTGGTATTCCTTCTGTATAATCACTTCCAAGCAAATAGGCCAAATTTATTAATTTATTCCGGTCTAATCCTATAAAAGTAAAAATCATTTTATATTTTTAACATTTTTACTAGAACACACCAAGCAAGCCTCTGCCTCAGGGCCTTTGCACTCTCTAGGGCCTTTGTCAGACACGCTCATCCCTAAGGTATGTACAACACTCACTACCTCTTTTTTTTAGGTCCTGGCCCAAAAGCTACCTATTAGTAGTCTTTCCTTACCACAACTCTGTATACGACAGCACACACACTTCCTGTGCCTATAAGTCACCCTCTCCTCTTTTACAGCTTTATTTTTCTATATGGTACTTATGTCGAATTATGGTTTACACTTATCATCTGTTTCTCCTACCAGACTTTCATTCTCCGCTGTTTCCCCACTGCCAAGGACAATACCCGCATAGAGGAATTGATATATATTTGTTAAATAAATGGGAAAAGGAAGAATCACTGCCAGAAAAGCCAACAGAGGGCCACGAAGCTCACGACTCCAGCAGGAGTGACTCCCCCCTGCCTCCCCATCTCTACCACCTTTGGTTTACTCTGGAGACCTCAGGTAACCAAAGTTTAAGCAGGTCAGGTAATTAAAAATGCAGAACATGCCTAAACATTACTAGGGTTTTAATTCCTAATTCTAATTTAAAAATCCTATTCCTCTATATAAGCAAAAGATCACTTACATGAAAACTTGTATAGACCAACCATTTCCATTAATACATCAAATTAGTTCCTTCGACAGGAAAAAATTCATAATACAAATTCAAAGTAATCATACTCTGAAGTCTTACCAAGTTGGTTGTGAAAGTCCACATATTGGTAATATTCTACAAACTTGTTTTTATTAAAAAAGTTTTTATAGACATGCCGTGCTCCAAACAGCCAAATATCACTATCATCAGTGATTGTTCCAGAAGTTTGATCAGTCAAATCCAGGATGGCGCACTGAGCCTCTGCTTCCATGGGAGCCTCAATGTAGGGAATGCCAAACAGGCGAAGAAGTTCCTGAGGAGTTACAGACACGCAATCACCCCTGTGGAATGCAGGACCTGGCCGTGACCAGAAATGGGAGCAGTGCGTAAACATTTCACTTATTGCATTCCCTTGGGGAATCTGATTAAGTACAAGCAGCACTATGTACCGTTAAAGGAGGCTTGAGCTGGTGCACCTACCTGGCTTTCCAGGAACATCTGCCCTGTCACGGTAGCAGCAATCCGTTCTTGCTGCTGTTTTTGTGCTTTCAGTGAATTCTGTTGTTCTAACAGGTTGCTCTCCAGAGTTTCCAGTTCCTCCTATAAAATAATTTCATCTGTAGATAATTATATTAATAGTCCAATTAAACTCATGTCTTACAAAAAGCTTGCATTTAGTCTGAGTAAATTACCAAATAAGCTCTCTTCCTTATGAAGTTTTCCACTTGGATTTTTGAGTAAGTCTGTAATTTCTTTAGAGTTCCCTCACTAAATCACACGGAAGTGGAGACCATCCCAGACAGCAACCTACACAAAACAGGAGCCATCAGCAAGAACAAGATGTATGCAAATAGAAACTGTGAGTAAAGAAACTGTGGTATAGGGGGGCCTGGCTGGCTCAGCCAATAGAGCATGGGATTCTTGATCTTAGGGTTGTGAGTTCAAGCCCCAAGTTGAGTGTAGAGATTACTTAAAAGCAAAATCTTTTTAAAAAAGAAAGAAAGCAAACTGTGTTATACATGCATACAATGAAAATACTATTCAGCCATAAAAAAACAATGAAATCTTGCCTTTTGTGACAACATGGATGGACCTTGAGGGCATTATGCTAGTAAAATAAATTAGAGAAAGACAATTACCACATGATCTTTCTTACAGGTGGAATCTAAAAAGTTTTTTTTAATTAAAAAGATTTTAATAGGTTGTAGATACAGAGAATAAATTGGTGGTTGCTGGGGAGGCTGGGGAGGGGGAGAAATGGGTAAACTGTTGAGTTTTGGGTTTTTGAGTTTAAACAAATTGAATTTAAAAAAAACCCTTGGGGGGCGCCTGGGTGGCGCAGTCGGTTGAGCGTCCGACTTCAGCCAGGTCACGATCTCGCGGTCCGTGAGTTCGAGCCCCGCGTCGGGCTCTGGGCTGATGGCTCAGAGCCTGGAGCCTGTTTCCGATTCTGTGTCTCCCTCTCTCTCTGCCCCTCCCCCGTTCATGCTCTGTCTCTCTCTGTCCCAAAAATAAATAAACGTTGAAAAAAAAAAAAAAAATTTTAAAAAAACCCTTGGGTAAGATACCACTTCCCATCCACTAGGATGACTAGAATCAAAAGGACAGATATAACTGTGGAACCCTTGTGCACTGCTGGTGGGAATGGTGTAGCCACTTTAGAAAACAGTCTGATGGGTCCTCAAAAGATTAAACACAGTTACCCTGTGACCCAGCAATTCTATCCCCTAGGTGTGGGCCAAAGAGAAATGAAGACATACATCCTCACAAAAACCTGTACATGGAAGTTTATAACAACATTTTTCATAATAGCCAAAAAGTATAAACAACCCAAATTTCCACCAAATGATGAACAAATAAAATGTGGTATGTATCCATACAGTGGAATACTATTTGGCAATAAAAAGAAATAAAGTCCTGGGGCACCTGGGTGGCTCAGCCAGTTAAACGTCCAACTCTTGATTTCAGCTCAGGTCCTGATCTCTCGGTTTGTGAGTAAGAGCCCTGCATCCAGCTCTGCACTGACAATGCAGAGCCTGCTTGGGATTCATTCTCTCTCTCTCTCTCTCTCTCTCTCTCTCTCTCTCTCTCTCTCTCAGTCTCTGCAGCTCCCAGCTCACTCGTGCATGTGCACGCTCTCTCTCTCTCCCAAAATAAATAAATAAACTTAAAAAAAAAATTTTTTAATTAAAAAAAAAAAGAAGTACTAACACATGCTACAACATGGATGGACCTTGAAAACATTCTGCTAAATGAATGGAGCCAGAAACAAAAGGCACAAGTTGTATGCTCCCATTTATCTGGAATTTCCAGAAAAGACAAATCCACAGAGACAGAAAGTCGATGAGTGGACCACTGATGAGTGGCTCCCAGGAGCTGAGGGAAGACATGGAGTATGACTGCTAATCAGTACAAGGCTTCTTTTTGGGGTGATGCACAGGTTCTAAAACTGTGATGATTACATAACTGTGAATACACTAAAAGCTATAAACTATAAAAACTAAAATCAATTTCTATAACATCAAAAATATGAAATACTTGGAGATGAATCTGACAAAGGATATGTAAGAGTTATACAAGGAAAACTGTAAAACACTGCTGAGAAAACTGCAAAAGATCTAAGTGAATCAAGATATATCCTGTGTTCACTGATCAGAAGATACAGTGTTGCTAAGATGCTAATTCTCCCTAAATCGATCTGTGTATTCAATGCAATCTCATCAAAACTGAGAAGCTAATTCTAAAATGTATATGGAAATGCATAGGATTTATTACAGCGAAGCAACTTTGAAAAAACAAAGTCAGAAGACTCAACTTCACATTGCCTCAAAATTTGTGATGTTTTAGTTGGTTTTGGTATATCATACAAGGCACCAAAGCTTTTATTTTTCTAGCACCACTGAAAAGACTATCCTTTCTCCATCCAACTGCCTTTGTAGCATTGTTGAAAATCTGTTGTCCATACACGCACAGATCTATTTCTGTACTTTCTATTAAGTTCTGTTGATCTATGTGTCTACCTTTATGCCAAGAGTAAACTGTCTTGACTATTGTTGCTTGGTTCTGTTGCTGGACTCTATTTTGTTCTATTGATCTATGTATCTACCCTTTAGCCAATATAATACTGTCCTGATTACTGTAGCTTTATAGTAAATCCTGATATCAAGTAGTATAAGTCCTCCAATTTTTTCTTTTTCAAAATTGTTTTGAGTACTCTAGTTTCGTTGCTTTTGCGCATAAATTTTAGAATCAGCTTGTTAATATCCAACAAAAATTTCTGTTGGGTTTTACTGGAATTCCATTAATCTATGGATCAGTTTGGGGAGAACTGGAATCTTAATGATACTGAGTCTTCCCATCCAAAACTACATGTATTTAGGTCTTCCCTGATTTCTATCATTAGTGTTTGCAATTTTGAACGTTATCTTTCACATATGTTATAAGCTGCATACACAGTATTTTATGCTTTTAGGTGCTACTGTATGTGGTTCTTGCTGTGGACTGAATTGTGTTCCCCCAAATTCACATGTTAAAGCCCTAACCCCAGATGTGACTGCATCTGGAGATAGTATCTTCAGGAGATAATTAAGGTTAAATGAGGTCATAAAGGTGGAGCCCTAATCTGATAGGACTGTAGCCTTAGAAAAAGAGATATCTCCTTCCCTCTCTCCCTACCCTCTTCCTCCCCTCCTCTACCAGCCCCCTCCCGCACCCCACTCCACCCGTACCATGTGAGGACATGGCAAGAAGGCAGCCATCTACAAGCCAGAAAAAGAGCTCTCACCAGGAACCAACAATAGCCTGCACCTTGATCTTAGACTTCCCAATCCCCAGAACTATGAAAAAATAAGTTTGTTATTTAAGGAAAAAAAAAAAAAAGCATGCAAATAGCTAATAAATGTTCATCCAGTAACTCCTTAAAGCTCAAAAGCTGTTTAACTTGGCTCTTTCTTAGCAATAAGTTAAAACTCAATGTCATATTATTACCAAATTAATATCTTGCCATTCATTGAGTGAACTGTCTGCATCTTTTTCAGCTTCGTCACGTGGCTCAATATCCAAGGCCTCACTTCCAGAGTTGTGTCTTAGGGGGCCCTCGGAGTCACCAGAGGCTTCTTCCTTCTCAGTTCCTACTGGTTCCTCTTCATCTTGTTCAGAGGGAGGTCTGGAAGCTTCATGTGACTCAGCTTGAAGTTCATCACTACTAGGTACACTCTGGACCTCAATGAAACTTCCTGGACCAAAATGAACAAGATCACTTTATTTATAAGTGAAACATTAAAACTATCCTGAAATCATCAAGAGCTTTCCAAAGTATCCTTAAAAATGTTTCACGGTGGGACACCTGGGTGGTTCAGTTGGTTAAGTGTCCAACTCTTGATTTCGGCTCAGATCATGATCTCACAGTTTGAATTCAAGCCCCGCTTGGGATTCTCTCTCTTCCTCTCTCTCTGCCCCTCCCCTGCTCGTGCTCTCTCTCTCTCTCTCAAAATAAATAAGCAAAAAAATTTTATAAAAAAATGTTTTACTCTCAAAAGATTTGAATTTAATAGAAAACATGTAACAATAACATATTACTATTAAACATATTTAATAATAAATATCTGTAACTTCACAATAAGCCTTTTCCATTAGGTAAACTGGCACTGCCTTTGAAGTTAGGAACCAAGCTTTCAAAGATTTGCATATAAGCTTTATGCAAATATGCTAAGTTAACTAATATTGTTTTAAAGTTCACAAAAGGAAATAATCAGAGATGCAAACAATCATGTAGGTTGTTAAATATGTTTTCATGCTACTTCACTAGAACATAGCAAAGAATGAAGCTGTGACTTAGTGGAAAGAATCCTGGATAAGTACTCAGGGGAAATAGCTCTTCTCTTACACTTGCCTTCCCTCCTCTCTTGTGTCTTTTCTTTTCTGTGAAAAAAATTGATTCCCTTCCTTCCCTTCAGGTGGAGGAGGCTGGATTTCAGGATGCAATCAGGACAGAGTGGGCTGGAGATCCCAGCATGGGGACTGGAGCCAAGAAGACAGCCAGGACCAAGGAGGACACCAATGGGATCAGATGGTTACAAACTGAGAGAGAACAAGCAATTAGTTAATGTATTAAGGACAATAGGAGTCAGGTTTTTCACTGTTTGGAAAAGAAATTAGAACAAAGGTGGAAGCTAATATGAAATCTGTAATATTGGATTGGACTGCAGATACCAGTATGAACTTACAGATTTGTACATGTGTAATTCATACTTATTTGTAGAGAAATAAATATAGATGGGTGTGTGCACGTTTGTGTGTGTATACATAAATATTATTTCCTGGCTTTGTCCCCGAGAGGGCCTGAAGCAATGACACCCCAGTAACGGTGAACACACTCAGTGTCCAGACCTTGGTTTCCAAACATCATGCTCCATTACAAGGACGAGGGCTCTTTGGTGAACTGCTTGGACCCAGGGACAGGACAGGGCAGGATAAGTAGAAAAGAAATCTGGAATATCTTGACCAGAAAGTAAAGAAATGCTCAAAATATAATGGGGAATTGTCCAAAGTCACAGGAGCCAGCCTAAAGGGGCCCACACTGGCCAAAGCTGGGACAATTCCAGAAATAAAGTACGACAGCATCATAAATCACAATAATCATAATAAAGTAAGAATTCTTGGGTCCACATTGATATAAAAAAATAATAAACGGGGAAAGGGGGGAAATCTTCCTTACAGAAGGATGTAAACCAAAAAATACATAAGGAACAATGAACTAAAACACTATCATTTGGCAAGAAGCCTTGGGTGGCTCAGTCGGTTGGTCATCCAGCTCTTGATTTCGGCTCAGGTCATGATCTCAGTTGCAAGATCAAGCCCACAGCAGGCTCTGAGCTGGCCATTGAGCCTGCTCCAGGTTCTCTCTCGCTCTCTCTGCCCCTTCCTGGCTGGCACACTCACGCACTCTTTCTCTCTTTCAAAAAAAAAAAAAAAAAAAAAAAAAAAAAACCTACCATTTGGCAACATGATAGTAATCATTCAGGCAAAAATCATCAATGAATGCTAAAACAGGTGGTAAAGGTTTGTTCAGAAACAGCATATTTACACAGCCTCAAAAAATACTAATTACAAGGAAGAAACAGTATCTTTAGAATGAAACTCAGCAGACACCAGGAAAAAACTTACCTTGTGTATGTGTAGAGTCAATTCTCGCTATTCATTGCAGTATGTTCGATAAAGTCACTGCAAACTCCTAATCCATGAATAGTCATTGTTCACAGAGTAAATATATTTATAATCTCAAATCCTAATAACAACCTATCTTGGTAAATTCTGTTTTCTTTATCTTACAAAAGAGGAAATGAGGTTTAGGAGTGTTAAGAGACTTGCCTGAGGCTGCCCCACTAACAGGTGCCAAAACTGGGATTCAAACCCCATCCAACTAGACCCTGAGCCAGAGCTTTTGGTCTACACTTCCCTGCTCCCTTCCATATTCACGTTCTAGTCACCTCTGTAGGACAGCTGAAATAAGAAGGCACAGTGACATCTTGTTCAACCTCAACTGGGAACGGAATGGCAATTCTAACTTTTAGCCACTTTATTCAGGTCCAGGAATGACCACAAAGACACTACCGATAAGTATTGATTCTGCGTTACAAATAAATTTTAGTAAGTAGGCAACTTCACAAATAAAAACCTGTGAATAATGAGGATCGGCCATACATGGGGCACCTGGGTGACTCAGTCAGTTAAGCGTCCGACTTCAGCTGAGGTCATGATCTCATGATTCATGGGTTCAAGCCCCATGTCTGGCTGTGCACTGACAGTGCAGAGCCTGGAGCCTGCTTCAGATTCTGTGTCTCCCTCTCTCACTCTGCCCCTCCCTTCCTTGGGCGCTCTCTCTCTCTCTCTCTGAAAAATAAACATTTTAAAAAAATGAGGATAGCCATATAGAAGTCTATGTACATATAAATGTATATAGACAAAGAGATATGATAAAGCAAATGTGGTAAAATGCTAGCCACTGAGGTACTGGGTAAAGGAACTAAGATGTTTTGTAATGTCTTTCAATTTTATTAAGTGTGTTATTATTTCTTTTTTTTTTTTTTACGTTTTATTTATTTTTGAGACAGAGAGAGACAAAGCATGAATGGGGGAGGGTCAGAGAGTGGGAGACACAGAATCCGAAGCAGGCTCCGGGCTCCGAGCTGTCAGCACAGAGCCCGATGCGGGGCTCGAACCCACGGACCGCGAGATCGTGACCTGAGCCGAAGTCGGCCGCTCAACCGACTGAGCCACCCAGGCGCCCCTGTGTGTTATTATTTCAAAACAAGAAGTTATAAAAAACTAAAAGACTCACCTTTACCTTTTCCAACTAAGGTACTCCCTCCTTTTATATTTTAATTCTTTAGTTTTTTAATGTTTTTAATTTATTTTTGAGAGACAGACAGACAGACAAGAGTACAAGGGGATGGGGCAGAGAGAGAATAGAAGACACAGAATCCAAAGCAGGCTCCAGGCTCCCAGCTGTCAGCACAGAGCTCAATGCAGGGCTCGAACCCACGAAACATAAGATCATGACCTGAGCCGAAGTCGAACTCTTAACCAACTGGGACCCCAGGTCTCCCTTTAATTTTTTTTTAATGTTTATTTATTTTTGAGAGAGAGAGAAAGACAGAGAGAGAGAGACAGAACGTGAGCAGGGGACTCCCTCCTTTTAAAAACAACAACAGAAAGAACCAACTTTGTGTGCTTGGCAAAGTCATTTCACCTTTCTGGGTCCCTAGTTCATCACCAGAACAAAGCGGGAGCGAGACTACACTAAAGGATCCCTCGGCTCCTGCGGATGAGAAACCCTGCAGTTCCGAATCTCTGAAACAGCACAAGCACCTACCGTCAGATTCACTTTCTTCAGAGTCGATTTCCATTGGCTCCGTGGACTTTGGAACTGAAATGAAGTCCTGGTCTGCAGATTCCACTGGGTTCTTGGCTGCAGATTCTTGGACGGTTTTCAGGAAATTCTCATTCTCTTTAGCATCAAACAATCCTGCATCTTTCAAGTTCCTTTTTGCCTCTGAAGGGACAATTTGTGTATTACTCGTTTCGTGCAAAATGACAGTGCCAGTGACTTTAGAAAGAGGACTTTTTTCACATTCTGCTTCATCCTCACTTGAAAGAACAGAGGAAACATATTTTCTGCCCGATGGACAAAGGTCTGGTTGCAGCTCAGACACTTTGGCATATGTTTCATCCGTCAATACAGAACTCGAACTTGTCGGAGGTGTTGGAGTCCCTTCTCCTCCACTCTGGAGTCCGGGTGCATCGCTGTGTCTCTTCACTGTGCTTTCTGAAGGAACTGGATGTTTTCTACCCTTAACTGCGGACTCATCACTTGTCTGAAAGGCTGTGTTCGCCACAGTGAACCTCGGTGACATTTCTTCTTCTGGAACACAAGATTCACTGACGGGCTGTGACACATGAGCCGAGTCTGCCGGCCTCTGGCTACTGTCAAGGCTGGTGTCGCACTCCTGTGCAGAGTTCACACAGGCCAGATGGGGTCCTGCTGGCAACAGCATTCCTTTTCCATCAACTTCCTTAAGGCCTTCATCAGTTTCCTCATCAGAACCCTTCTCGGGCGGCTTTTTCACTCCTGACGCTCCCGTCTGCACATCGTTACCTGCGCGAATTTCCATGTCTTCATCGTCGTCAAGAGCCTTCTGAATAGCTAAGAGAGTGAGCGGTGACACGGGTACGTTCTCCCCGTCAGACTGCCTTCGGCCCTCACTCTCCCACTCCTCCTCCGAGCTGCCCCCCAGCACGGCAGCTTGCACAGCCAGGGACGTTCTTGGAGGAGGAGGGGTGGTGGCAGGCTCTTCCTGTGGCTTTAGTTTTCCACATGGAGAGGACTTCACGTCAAAAGACTTGCTCTGCATTTCACTGGAAGAAGGAAGAGCCTCTGAACCCACTCCTGCAGCTTTCTTAGCTTGAATACCTGAGGAAGAATTAAAACATTTCTCATTATGTAGTTTTACAGTAAGACACTATACCTCTAGTATGATGAATAAACAACGCTGCTTCTCATAAATGAAGTTACAATTTTTCATTTAATCAGCACTGAGTTAATTTATCAATTTTAAAGTGGGCTGGTACATGAACACTGAATAACATATAGAACTGCTGGATCGCTATAACATACACCTGAAATGAATATAACATTGTATGTTAATTATACTGGAATTAAATGTTAAAGCAATAAATTACAAGAATAAAAATAAAGAGGGTTGGTACAATAGTAGGTAATCCATTAACAACTACATACATTTATTACTGCACAAGTAGAGTCTAGTTCATAGAATTCAGAAACACAATAGATTTTTGGTTTGCAACCATCAGGTAAGTGATGGTGCCTGATACCTCTTATCAAGATGTAATGTGAAGTGTCTTCAGAGACCACTCTCCTCGACTCTACCTCCTTCAAAAAGCCCCCTTCCTCTTCATATTGTCTTTGGATTTGTCCGGACTGTTGCTGATTCATTTCCCTTTGGACATTTTCTATGTGTTGGTTTAGATAGTTTTTTTTAAGCAAGCCTTTGAGCTGGTACTGTGAAAAGTCATTAGACCCCTAAAAGAAAATAAATAAATATAATGATTCTTTTGTATTAAATACAGATAATATTCCCACATTTCCATCCCTTTCCCCAAAAGGGGACAAAGAGCAATTGATTTTTCCCATTGGTGATATTTTTGTATTATAAAAGTAAAATTTGAATACTAGCAAAAAACTATAACTGCCTTATTAAAAAATAATCTTTAAAACAGAAAGAACTGGGCAAAAGAAATCATGGATACTGTTTATGACTTAATGATTTACTCAAAAAACATTTATTGAGGGGCGCCTGGGTGGCGCAGTCGGTTGAGCGTCCGACTTCAGCCAGGTCACGATCTCGCGGTCCGTGAGTTCGAGCCCCGCGTCGGGCTCTGGGCTGATGGCTCGGAGCCTGGAGCCTGTTTCCGATGCTGTGTCTCCCTCTCTCTCTGCCCCTCCCCCGTTCATGCCCTGTCTCTCTCTGTCCCAAAAATAAATAAACGTTGAAAAAAAAAAAAAAAAAAAAACATTTATTGAGCATGTAATGCATGCCAGGCACTGTGACATTTTGATTACGGCTTAATAGATAGGCAACCTTCCAGAATGCAAGTAAGGTGCCTAGCATGGTCCCTGACCTATAAAAGACACCAAATAAATCACAACAGCCACAGTTATTAATGATAAGTTAACATTTATAAAGCATTTCCTGGGAAGGCATTCTTCTAAGAGCTTTTACGTGTCATCCCATATTATTTCCAACCACCCCACGAGACACATGCCATTATCTCCATTTACAGATGAAGAAGCTGAGACAAACATGTTAAGTAACCTCCCTAGAGTTGCAAGGCTAGTAAGTGGTAGATACGGAATCAAAAACAGGTTGCCAACTTTATATTGCTTCTATTACTATTATGTTATTATTTACCATCATTACTATTACCAATATTGCATTTGCCCAATGTACAGATTATACAAAGGTCCCACCTGGCTGACCTAGCACTTCCCTTTGCTATCAGAAGCACAGATTCAATGGGCGGCTGAGCCACACTACCCTGCCATCTACAGACCCCAAGCTCCATGGTGGCAGGAAGAGAACAAAGGGGAGAAAATCATTAGGGACCATCTCCCTTCTTCCCATGTCTTCCCACCGTTGTTTACATAACCCAAACTGTATCTCCTCAAAGGCCAGCCAGAGATCTTTTCACACTTAAGAAATAAAGTACTTGATACACAGACTGAGCCTGGATTTTTCCCCTGAAATGAAAATAAATTTACTCCTAACCTTTGTATATCATTTCTGTGTACCTTCATATTTTCCTATGTTCACATACTTCGTGGAAAAACAAAGAAGTGATATGGAAAGAAAGAGCGCCTGTCTGCCTTTTGCATATTTTTGGTATCAATTTAAGAAATGTTCAAAAGTCTGTAGAAAAAAAAATGCTACATCCATTCATCAGGAATAATGCTGCTGCAAAATGCATATTCTCTGTCCTCCAGTGAGTGAGAGAATGATGTGAGAAATCATAGGTAGTAGCAGAAAGGGAAACAAAGCTCATTTGCCCACTAAAGGCAGTAGTAACTTCTGGTGTAGCATGACCAGGAGACAAGCTTGACCCCAACTACGCACACCACCTGCTCCAGGTTTCTGTGGCTGTAGAGCCACCACAGATGCTTCAAGCTACGGATTGAACCACTACTGAACACTTATTATGTGAGAGATACCAACATAGGTGCTGAAATTACAGAAGTGAGCACGACAGGCACATGTGAATGCTCAGAACCAGAAAGAAACATTACAGGGTGTTACGAGAAGACAGAGCAGGAGGCAAGACTTGGTCTTAAACGGTAAGTCAAAAGGCTTCTTTGAAGAAGTGTGTCTAAGTTCAAACTTATAAACATATGACGCTTCCTAGGATCTCGGAGACACAAATGCTGTTTACTAGAAGCAGATATTATATAAGTAATGCTTATCAATTTCCACTTTTTTCTAATGAAAAATCTTGAAGTTCTTAATCGTAAGCATGGATATGCTGTTATATATTTCACCTCTGGCATTGCTTCAAATAATGTTCTTCTTCGCTTGGTAAATTCTTTCATATCAGTCAAGATTTCATGCTTTATTTCAAGAGGCAAGCTGCTGAAGTCTTCAGATTCAATATCTATCGCATGAGGATTATGAAAGAACTCTTCCTATAAAGAGTAAAACATAACAGCGTGAAATTTACATTTCATACACTTAATTCTATTTATCCTGAGAGATATTTATTGCACTTACAAACATAGTTCTACATAATCTACAACAGACTAAACACAGTTGTACATAATCTGCACTAGGTACCAATGAATAGACAGATTAAGGAATACAGCCATTCACTCACAGATTCATCCAGTAGAAAAAATACTTACCAGACACCCCTAATGTACCAGACACTGTTCTGGGTGCTAGGTATTATGCAGCTCATGCCAGATAAAGTCCCTACTCTTAGGAGTGAACTAAAGACATAATAATGAAATCAATAAATAAGTGAATGAACAAGACAATAAAGCAGGTTAATCTGATTAAGAGAGTTGATTAGGAGAACAGGAAGAGAAAAACATTTACTGGTAGACAGAAAAGACCTCATTAAAAAATGACCTGTGAGCAGGGACTTGAAAGACACCAACAAGCCTGATCAGGACATCCCAGGCTGCAGGAACAGCAAGTACAAAGGCCCTAAGGCAGGGATGAGCCTTTGATATTTAAACATTATTTGTAATTCCCTTAATTAGATTAGTTTTGCTTTGGTCTTAACCTATGATCAAAAGTGAAATAAAAAGTGAAAAATTCACAGACATGAAAAAGTATAAAACTTTTCTAAATTTTAACTAATTACCAAAAATGCTTTAAAACTCTTCTATAAAGAAAATAAAATAATACAGTTAGCTTTCCTGTATGTAGGCATGGTGTATGTGTATGTCCAAAGCAGCCAGCACTGAGGACAGGCCAGTCATGCTCACAACACCCATGCTTTTCCCTCAGTAATGTTCCCAGCAGCCCTCTGAAGAAGCATCATTATTATTTTTCTTCTACAAAAAAAGAAAGAAAAGCAAGCAAGCCAGCCAGCCAGCCTTGGAGAAGTTACTATGTCTAAGATCACACAGCTAGTGAACAGGAGGGCCCACACTTAAATGCAGGACTTTCTGACCACAGTGCTCATGTCTTCACCAAGACTGCTATCTTTCACTACATTAATAATGCAGAACCTCTACAAGTTGAGGGATCCTGAGCCTGAGGTTTTAGCTCAAAGGTCATTTTCCAGATGTACCAAAACAAGAGGAACATAAAAGACCAGTTAAGTTGGGAATCAAAGAATGTTACCCACTATTCAAGAAACTTGAAAAAAATTTTAAAAACTTGTATAGACAGTACAGCCTCAATTCATAAAAATGTCATCCATTAAAACGTGTGTGGTCATGGTTTCAGAACATGACCACACGTTCTCTGATCCCTCTTTTCATGTAATCCCTCCCCTTAAATAGGGGGCGGCCTGACTGACCAGCTTCTCACAGACAGGACATGCAGGAGGGGAGACTGCACGACTTCAGAAGCCGGCCAGAAAAGGCACAGGGCCCTGCCAGGCACTGGCTCTTGGGATGCCTGCCCCTGGAACACAGTGCCATGCTGTGGGCCCCAGGCAGGTGTTCTGACTGACAGCGTCAACCGGCAGACATGCAGTGAGGAAGCCCTGGAGGGGGCTCCAGCCCCAGCTACAGTCCGTCTGCATCTACCCGGCAGTCATGCAGACAGCACTGCCTCGCTGAGCTCACCAACCCCCGGAACGGGGAGAGAAGACGACACACAAACAACCATTTCCACATCACCCGATCACACGGCAATGGGCAAGTGGAACCTAAGCACAGACGTGGTTACACATGTATGCGTACATGTATACCTGTCACATACAGATCACATACAGATGTACCCAGACACACACAGGTACTCAACCGAAATGAGGAGGGAGGGAGAATGGACTAACATATACCGAATTACCTGAAGTCATTTATGGGTGCTACCTTTTCTATATTTTTACACAAGTATGCATTACTATTTGTTGGTGGGTTGGTCGGTTGGTCGGTTGGTTGTAAAGGAAAGATGGCTTATTTTGGATATGTGGATATACATAATGGCCAACCAACTCCACATAAATGTGCGCGGAAGCATGTATACTTATACATATATTCACACGTGCACACTTATACACACATGCACAATAAAGAAGGCGTCTGTTTTTCAGGAACTTTCATAAATTCACACCACCTCAATATTCATTTTTGTGTCATTCATTTCAAATGGTAGAACATATTCTGAATTCAAAAATTACGTATGTACCTGTAATGCTTGTTTCTGACTCATTCTTTCTTGCCATTCTTTTTCGTCTTCTTCTTCTGAACTGAAAGCCAAGCATACGTTTACAGTATCTATGATTTAATGACTTATGAAAATACTGCTTGAGGCAAGGGGCTGCTAGCTACAGGGGCTACAAGGGTGAGTAAGATGGCAAGACATGGGTTGCCCTTGTTCCCACAGTCTGGAGGGGACACGTGTGAGTGAGCAATTACAGTATGATCTAGTAACTTCCACCATAAGAGAAGAGTAATAAGGACAGTCACCTCTCTCCAATCTGGGGGGGTCCTAAAAGCATTCTGGAATCTGGCAATTACACTGCTTGCCCTGAGCCCCAAGTAAGTGAGAGGTCTAGTTGTAGGGCATGAGGAACATTCATGCAGAGAAGTATTCCAGGCAGAAACCGAAGTTCTATAAACATCTGGAAACAAGGGAAAGAAAGCCTGCCTGTACACGGTATAAAAACAGCGGGTGGTGAGGATGGGAAGCATGTGATTAAGGGGCTGGAATTTATCCTCAAGAAATGAGAAGCTAGGAAGTGTTTTAGGCTACACAATGACATTATCAGATTTGGGTTTTAACAGATTCTACACTATAAAGAAGAGATTGAGCATGGTGGGTAGGAGTTCCAGCCAAGGGTAAGACCAACCAAAGACAAAGACAGAGAAAGAAGTGTAGAAGCCACTACGGTAATTGCAAGAAAGGACGATGGTGGCAGTGATGAAGATAAACAGAAATGGCCTGATTCAAAAGCTACTTGGGGTCTCAGGAACCCCTGGGAAAGGTATGGGGACAGGTAGGGGCAGAGGCACACTCCAACCACAGAAGCTGCGACAATTAACAGTGAGCGAGAGGAAGTGCCAGAGGAAGAGGGGCGTGAGAAAGAGTGGCCAGAAAGGTTCCCAGGTAGCTGGACAGCACGGGCACCGTCTCACACACGGCTGAAAAGTGCGGTCAGCTGAGGCCTGCAAAGCGTCTACTGGATTTAACGAGGAGGACGCTGCGTGTGGTCTCTAAGCACGGTGGTAGGAGACAGAAGACACGGGCTGAGAAACAGGTAGAGACAGCAAGTGCATGCAAAGGGTAAGAAACATGTGTACGAATGATACATCAACAGTGCTAACACGGGGTCTGCAGAAAGAAGAGAACAATCAGCACAAACCAAAACACAAGTACAAGTTAGAATGAAAAATGAAAAACATTCTAAAAGGGACAGAGAATGCATTTTCAGTTGCATTCATTCCCACATGTCTCATCATGCAGATAAAACCCAAAGATTTAAATCTGTCTAAATACACAGACAATTACTATTTGTAAATAGTTAAACATTTACCTGTTTTTTTCCTCCTTCTGTAAAGGTGGCAAAGCATAGAGGTCATCTCTTTGAACTTGAGTAAGACTGGGGAGCGCTTCATCTCTGAAAAACACACAGACTTCAACACAGGTAACGGGATTTAGGATTTTAAGTCAGGATTTTGACGACACAAGCCCTGCTGAGGAGGTGAGAAGAGGGGAGACACAGGGCAACAGGTTTCTCGCTGCTGACCTGGCTGCCCAGGCCACTGTGGTGGGAAGTAAGCACGGCCTGGAGAGAAAGAGGGCGGCTCCCCAGCACCTCAGCCAGGGCCTCGGCTACAGGCATGGACACATGCCTCATACAAGTACAAAGTGCACGCAATGCATCATTACAGCCGTTCTCTCTCCTTATCAAAGCTGACACCCACCAGAGAATTTTCACAATTTCAAATTACCAGGTCAAATGGACACCCCACTTACCCCTCTCATGTTACCACCTATTATCTGCTGAGTTAAGGTTAGGGAAAGGGTTAACCCAACAAAAAATTAAAAGCTTTAAGCCTTTAAAATTAATGCAATTTGCCTCTTGCCTTTTGCTTTTTAAGGCAGTTTTGATAGCTTGTCTTTTCAAAAATGTTTTCAAAAGCTTCTCTGTAGTTTTTTTGGAATCACTGGTTGCCAAATCCTTTCTCTGCCTTCTCTTAGCCTGTGAAAAGAAAGGGTAGAGGATTCTATTTCAGGGTATTAGTATATTAAAAATATTTCTCTAACTTTTTTCTATAGAATGTGGTTTGTCTGAGCTTTCAGAATGTGGATGCTTTAGTAGTTCCTCCAAAGTGTTGTTTATCAGTGAAAATGTTCAGGTCTCTGATATGTAAAGCACACCGAGTTTCCATCTAGCGATTACTGAAAAAACTAACTAGTATACAGTATTTGGGAAACGATTAATTTATTTTCAGTTTCTTTTAAATATCCTTTAATGTCCCCAGAAGCCCAAAACTAAACAATATAGTTAAGTAAATGCTTCTCCAAAGGATTATATCAATTAACTAATGTATTCTGTAAAAATCACTGTTATGCCAAAACCAATTTCTGCTATTGGCCTTTATAAAATAACATTACTCAGATGCCACCCCATCCCTCAACATCCAAAATTATATCATAAGAAATCCTAAATTATAGAGAAGTATCTTGTAAGTAATGTCCAAGTAGGAAAAAACAGAATAGTCTCCATGCTTACGGTGGAATATAAGGAAGAAACACAAAACATTCTCTTCCCTTCTAAATTAAGATATAACACTGTGGAAGTGTAAGGTGTACAATGTGTTGATTTGATACATTTATATATTACAAAATGATTACTACAGTAGTGTTAGCTAACACCTTTAATCATGGGGCAGGGGAATTGGGGAGATGTTGTTTACTTTAGATAAATTCTGGAGTTCTTTCCTGTCTAATCCTTCCAAGGAGTGCCTGATACAGTGTATCCTGGATAATTTAAAACTGCAACATGCGAATCTATACCTTTTACTGAGGGAACAAATATCCCCAAGCTACTGCAGATCCTTACTTTTATCCTATATTCTCACTTACTTAGACAATGCCTGTCCAGTGTAATTATGAAGTGATGAGCTGGCATTTTCAACACATAAAAGTCCTATGTCCAAATGGGTGCTATCATTCGGGGCATACACAATTACTCCAAAGTTCACGCCTTTGTTCCAACATTGTTTGAAACTACTTTCAGAATAAAGAAACTCCTGGGGTGCCTGGGTGGCTCAGTCAGTTGAGCTCAGGTCATGATCTCATAGTTTGTGGGATCAAGCCCAGAGTCAGGCTCTGCACTGACAACACAGAGTCTGCTTGGGATTCTCTGTCTTGCTCTTCCCCTTCCCCACTCTTGTTCTAGGAAGGAAGGAAGGAAGGAAGGAAGGAAGGAAGGAAGGAAGGAAGGAAGAAGAAACTCATTATCATTGTTTTATATCCTGGCTAATTTCCTTCCTCAATAATCCACTTTAATCACACCTGACACCACACAAAATCACCTATTCCTAACATCCCATCAGTCTTTAAACACTGGGGACCCACGATCTCAGATTCAGAGCATTTCCCCAACAGGTTCTCTGTAGCGCTCAGCAGCATAGCTGAAACATGCATAGAACAGCTACAAAGATACTCTAGAAGGAAAAATCCCAAGTGTAAGAATTTTAGTAGTTTTATTAAAAGTTGAATTTTATCATTGCACCCAGGAAGTACTCTCACAAATAATCCTTTTTTAAAAGAAGAAGTATTGGGAAGCCTGGGTTGGCTCAGTCGCTTAAGCCTCCAACTTCAGCTCAGGTCATGATCTCATGGCTCGTGAGTTTGAGCCCCACATCAGGCTCTGTGCTGACAGCTCAGAGCCTGGAGCCTGCCTCAGATTCTGTGTCTCCCTCTCTCTCTCTGCCCCTACCCTGCTCATGCTCTGTCTCTCAAAAGTAAACATTTAAAAAAAATTCTTTTAATAAAAAATAAAGAG